GAGACGGCAAGAATCAACCAATGATTTGCCGAACCAGTCCCCATGCTTTAGAAAGTCGTTACTGACACCGAGAGCCTACACCCGCCAATATGTTGCAGAACTGGATTCAGTTACCTTGATAGTGAGAACTGACCAATCAGATTGCGTGTCGTAAGACCTACTCAGCCAGTACTAATCTGAACTGTGACGACATCATATCCCGCGTATCGACATCATAGTGCAGAACCAATCAGTGACCTGGACAATCGAAGGGAGAGTGGGTTGCCCTTTGTTTTGCCTATCTTCAGGACTCCGAGGAAGTTGCCTTGGTTCTCCTCGCCTGGTACCACACCCTCCCCTTGGTCCATCACCATGACAACCACCAAGTAATCAGTATAATTATGTTACATTTTGTTTATACTCCCCGTACACTTGCGGGGAAACGGGCCGACTTCTTTTGAACCGTTTGAAGGTCTCCGTCCTCTCAACCTCCTTCCCTCTATGGCATCAAGTTAGCTTTAGTCATGCTTTGTCACGTGACCGTCCAATGACAGACAAGCTGGCCGTGTTTGTAAAGATACCGGTTTTTAATTCCTTCACTGTTGCTGTTAGGTGTACTGTGTTGACAAACAACTCTTTGCCACTGAAAGTGTTTTGGTCTGTTTTAGCAAACAACCCGGAGCTCGAACCTTTACCCACCCACTCCCTCATGTGCAATAGTTTCAGGTAATGTACTCGTGTTCTGGTGACAAGGAGAAACAGACCGTCAATTACTCCCTCCTGGTTCGTTTCCATGTCGACGACCTCGTGGATAACACGTCCGTGGACGTCTCCGAAGAAAACGTGGTCGTCGTGGTAACAAAAGCTGCCGACAACCAGAGGGAGTGGGCGTGGTTTGAGGCTGGTGTCAACTCCCAATCTACTCGGGTATATTTATTATACACTATGCTATGTTGTGTGTTTCTTAAGGGGCAGTTTTTCAACATTTTTCACCAAATCCATCAAATCTGTATATATGTGATTTAGTTGTGACATTGTGTAAAATTGCTTCAAGTACAGCAAAAATATACTTTTAATTAAGGTCCTGAATGTTTTAAAAACACAGGATTATGTGCGAGAGGCCTGCATGGAGATCCCTCTCTAGAAGCCTTGTGTTGTTGTTGTGTCTCTATTCAGAGGAAGATGTTTCTGACAGAGGAGGGCGTGGCGAGTGGTGAGGAGGAAATGAGACGAGACTGCGACCCTTGGGTGAGACACACACACACAGAGATTACACTGTGTGACACCTTCAAACAGTGTGTGTCCACTATTTGTGTGGCAACAGTCAACTGCTCTTGCTTGTCCAAAGCCACAGTCAATGACAGCAAATTCTTGCCTGTCCAAAGCTGTGGTAAAATTTAGAGAGAGAAAAATTTTACAGCTCTCTCAAGAATTTTTGGGAGGGCTCCTTCGAAAAAATTTTATTTGGCACTGAAATGAAATTTTTTTCTTCGTTACTGGTTTTGTAGGTAGTATGAATGTCTGTTGCTATGAAAACCTAGAACTGCTTTATTTCTCTCTCGGCAGAGGTCTGGTTCAGAGTTCTCAGAGGTCAAAGTCTCCTCGTCCTCAGACAAAGAGTTGGTGCTGGAACTGAAGAAGACGGGTCAAGGTTCAGAACGTGGTGCTGAGGAACGGAATGGAGACACTGTGGATCGGAACAGAGACAGGACTGAAGATAAGGCAGAGGAGTCGCCAGCTACTGGGAGTGATCAGAATGGAGACTGTGTTAGAGAAACTGAGATCAAACGTGGACATGAGACTCGTGATATTCATCTCACCAACGACTTACTCTTTAATCTCGATTGATTATGATCACACTTGCCCCATATAGTACCTCTGCAGTGCATGGGAGAGTTTATAGTGCAGATAGGTCCCCTCGGCAGAGGCGAGAGCAGTGGTCACCCACATTTTGTAGGTTAATTCCTCAGTGCAGTAACAAGCTCTGCCCATACATGATGCATTCGGTTCCTCAGCCAGCCATCTTGTGTGCGTGTGTGTGTGCGTTACTACAGATCTGTGTTATGTTGCACAAACTTCCACACAGCTATAATCACCTAACAAACTATCGAGTTGTGATAGTTACTTCCATTCTAGTAACAATGATAAGTATATTTAGTCTGCACACACAGGAAAGCACTGTCCAAATATATATATACTCTTTCTATGAAGTACGACAAGGACTTTTGCCACGTTGTTTGAGGTAGAGAGGACCGGTATTGAGGCGGTCAATCGACTCGCACTGTTGCTTCCCACCACAGACCTCACTGTTGACTGTGCTGCCACTGTCGCCACAATGTTCTGGTAGGAGTCCTTCTTCTTCCGGAGAGCTCGGGCCAATTTCGGCATCCATCCTGCTCCCACTAGAGTCCGCATAGGAGACGTGGTGGGGAATGGTGGCATAAGCGATGTGATAGTTTCCCACGACATGCTGGACGCCTTTCTGGAAATAAACCTTGCCGGACTTGGCAACTTGGTCATCGGGGGCTGCTGCTACCCTCTTCGTGATAATCTCCCTTCCTCCCCCAACTACAAGCATTCGATGAAGAAGCTTTGGGACCACTTTTGACGCCCCTCGTGCCTGGTGGAGGGAAAACAATCTCGTCGTTAAACTGTAGAGTTTTGCCATCGTTGGTGTAGAGATGCTCAATTTTCTTTTTGCTGCAACCGTGGCCGGAGAAGGCAAAAATGATGACCTTTTCTCTTCCCTCCTTCTTGTCCATGTTGTATGTCGCCAGTTCGTTTGAAACCTCCTTCACTAGTGCTTTCACGTCCGTCTTTGTTGGATTGCGAAGTTGACGGGTTGTGTAATTGAAACGGTTGAAGGTTTTCATCATCTCCTGGCATCTGCTCTTGTTCCTAGCAGTTGTTTAGAGCACACACCCATTCTCTCGTATTCACATGGTGACGAGACTGTCCAGAGCCTGGACTGTCAGTCAGAGGCAGTGCTGAATAGTAATATCAGTGGATCACTTCGGGAAAAACTATGATTAATACTGTTCTTCTCCTCATACCAGGAAAAAGTTTTAATGCACTGAGGAGTGAACTGTAATTATATGGCTTACTTTCAGTCACTTGGCAAACACCTATGCAAACCCATTTTTCAGGTTACAACACACATGCACTGTCTGTATGAGAAAAGCACCCAGAGATGTGGGCTACAGTCTGTACCAGCAGGTCCTTCAGGTTGGGAGGCACTCACTCCATCACTGGCTGTGTTGGAAAGACGGATACAACCACTATTAATGGTATAGCTATAATGTGAAAAAATGCATACCTTCTATAGAAAGATCTCCTTCAGTGGACCTCAGGTTGACTGAAACCAGTATGCACTGATCTGTCAAAGGAACATTATGACATTAAAATGTAGCTAGTCCTCTCCCTGCAACTTGCTGGAAACATCTGAAAAAATACCTCCAAATAACAGGGACACTTGTTAGTCTCCCCCCGGGGTAATACTACGGAATGCGCACGCGCATGCGCATATTTCGCCTCGCGCTTGCCGGCCGGCCGGCCATGGCGCGGCGCGGGCCAGCCAATGCGCGCGCGCGTACGTAAAAACACACACGTATAATTATACATACACTCACTAGAGGCCGATCGTGCGCGCGCTCTACTGACTGCCAGACTTCCTATCCTACGAATGACGGAAGTTACACTTCCTGCTGGTGACTAATTTACATTCCTAAGCGTGACTAATTGCCGACACGTACGTACGTACATCGCGAGAATACAACCCGGAGTAGTTGCCTCACGCTCGGCAACTAAAGGACACTTGCAACATCCCATTGAGGTGTTCCCTTATTCAGAGGTTTCACAGTAGCTATTGATTTACCAAAGTGTTCTTCTAACTCTTGCACCAACTCGCCCAAACCCATCTCTCCCAGTACTTCAACGAGGGTGGTCCAAGACAAAGGCGTCCTCCCAATCCCACGCAGCCATCGCTGGAGAATTGCTTCCGTTGCTCGAGTTGGTGGGTCATACTTGAATTGTGCCACTATGTTCTCAGTGGCAGCCCCAGTGTCATCTTCGAGCAGTATACGACCCACTTCCTTATTCCAAGCTGCTATTCGCTCAGTAATTTTGATGATACGTCCTGACCGAGAGGGAAACCTCAGAAGTAGTGGCATAGTTGGTTTATCCGACCAGGAAGACACACCTGTATATAGTATTTACACTGCATTCCATACAGTAGGCATGAAACAACAGCAAAAGAACTACTTCAGGGCTTGAACTAACAACAAAGCAAAGGCACCGGGAGGTTCGGGGTGGTTCGACCGAACTAGCACACAACCACCCCACACACCATGTTCCCTCGGTGCCCCAAAAAGCAATCAGTGTGCAACAAGGGAAGATTTACAACATTAGCATTATAGCATGTCATGCAGCTTGCTACAGACTATACCTCGCTCCATCTCCTTAACCCAGTCTAGCTCTAGCCCATCACTTGCAATAGCGCCATCACCAGACCCAGGCACATCATCTGATAATTATGATGAAGACACAATACCAAAAGGGAACATGACAGAAGGCTAATTTTACGTAAATTTAGCACTATTGTGCCCTATTCCTACTGCCACATTCCTGTTAAATCAATTCTTCTGTATAGCAACTTATTTCGTTCTTATCTCAGAACACCACTTTGTGTTTGTAGCTATGTAGTATTTTACCAGCTTACCCAAGTTATCTGCGATGTCTTTCGCTAATGCATTGAGTTCTATCATTCTGAGCACGGTGACTAATGTGACCCAGGATATTGGAAGTATTCCATTTCCCTGCAACCACTTCCGTAGTATATGTTTCCTTATTTCAATCAATCGAAATCTGCAGTCCGCCTCAATGTTGTCGACGATATCTCCATTCTCATCGTTGAGAGAGAAATACCAAAATTACGATACTTTACCCCGATCTGCCGAACGACGTCGATGCCATCTCCCGATCGTGTACGGAAGTCTACCAAATCTGGAAATGTTACCTTACTAGACCGTGATCGAGGAGGACCTGAAATGCGAAGTATGATTCGTCTATAAGATACGCCAATTCTAACACCAAAAATACTAACGTTCATCCATCCAGACTCGCCTGAATACACCCTGACTGCGACAGAGCTGCCGATCGATCGAGCAAAGGACGCAAAAAGGGTGGATCCAGAGAGAGAAACGTCGTCTAATCACTTGCGCGCCTAGCTGTGTGCGCGTGATTAAACTCTGCTTATGAGTAACGCTTCCTCTATGATGAAAAGCACTAAAGTGCAAACCCTCGGCGAACTGCGCATGTGCGGTACCACTAATTGATGGGCTGGGCTTTTTATGCCTTTACTCGTGGTATCCCGCTAGTAGCTCGCGGAGAGTCTGGCACGGGCTAGCTACAGTAGTAAATAGCATGCGGGAGTCGATACATGCCCTTCGTTGTGACTTGTTGTGCCTTCAAGACACACAGAGCGAACGGACGCGGTCGAGGTAAGCCTGTGCTAATTTACATATTGGCTTGTTCACTTGGTTTTCACGCCATAACTTTAGAACGCAGTAGTTTTACGAAAATCGCCTTTTTTAAAATCAACCCAGTGTAGCACTGAACCCGATCATATCGCTATTTACCTGATTTCGTGCGCGCGGTGGCAGAAAACGTGGTAACAGACAGAATGAAAAGCACTGAAGTGCAAACCCTCGGCGCATTGTGACGCGCACGCGTGAGTAAACGCATGCGCTGTATCACTAATTGATGGGCTGGGTTTAGTTCTGCCCATCTCGCGCAGAGTCTGACGCGGGCTAACTATACACTACTAGACAGCATGCGAGAGGCGATACACGCCCTGCGTTGCATCTTCTGGTGCCTCCGAGGTCGCAGAGCACGCGGATCGATCAGACCGCAGTAAGCCATCCCGTCCGTTGCGTATTTGCATATTGGCTTTTTCGTGCTCTAGCTTTGCAACGGAGCATTTTCAGAGAAAACCGCCTTTATTTTCTGACCTTCGTCGCCTGTTGGGTAGATGGTATCGTTTCTGGGACGAACAGACGTTCGAGGAGTGAGATAGAGAGTAACAGACAAACAGACAGACACCAGACAGACAGACAGACCCAAGTACTGTACAAAGGTTCAAAGGTTCAAAGGTTCAAAGGTTTTAAATC